GCGCCCAGAACTCCGCAGGGGCCCGTGGGTGCTGGTGAGGCAGCCCTTGCCTCAGCTGCTGGTTCTCTGCCTTGTTACGTGTTACCATTTAAATCCCAACTGAAACCACTCATACACCTAATATACAAATATATATAAATCCCTCAAAAGATTGGAAAGATAGACAACAAAATGTTGAAAGTTATTTTCTCTGAGTGATAGGATTAAGGCACGCCTTTCAGTTTTTAGTGTTGTTGTGTTTGTTAAATTGTCTACAATTAATTGTATCATTGTATAATCAGTAAAAAAGCACTACAAGTTGCCTTCCAATTTAAAAAATATTATTCTGGCATTTTGATGGCTTTACTTTTACATTTATATCTTTGAGATTTCTGGATTTATTTTGCTTTAAGAAATGAGTTATAGATCTGGGTTTTTACCCCCCACCTTTAGCAACCTACATGTCCCTCAATAAGCATGTTACTAAATAAATTAGGCCACAGCCATCCACTAGAATACTGTGCAGACGTGAAAAAGAACAAGAGAGCTTTATGTCATGTGCCAATAGAACAGATGCTCACAATGTATTATTAGGTGACGAAAACAAGATGGAGAATGGTTTGCATATTATGTTCTCAGTTAGGTTAGAATATATGTATGATGTATGTTTCTATTTATCTACAGTCTTGTAGATTCTTAAATTCTTTCTGGCCAGATACAGAAGACGCCTGATGATGAATGGTTCTGGTGTTCCTGGGGAAGGTGAGAAGAAAGAAGGAAGGAAGGAAGGAAGGGAGAATTTTACTTTTCATTTTATCCCTTTAATTGTGGTTGAATTATTTTTCATTATGTGCCTCTGTTATTTTTGTTTTGTAATAAACACATAAAAATCATTAAGTAAGCAGGAACATGACTTTTATCTGTGCGTGGTCTTTATGTCTTCTTAAAAATCAGGTGGTCCCTTAAAATTGATCACTTTTGTGTTTTTATTCATTCTGTCGCCCACCACCACCAATAATAATAACCAAAATGCACTGAATCCTTTCTAGGAGCCAAGCACTGCCCTAATTACTATTGTTGCTGTTGTCATTGTAATCCTCATTTTCAGATGAAAATAACTAAGCAAAGAGAAGGCAGATAGGTTGTCTAATGTTATCTTGTTAGTAGGTGGCAGGGCTAAGATTGATGCCCTGACACTTAAATTCCAGAGCCTGTGGAACTTAATCACTATGTAATACTGCCTTGTTAAGTTTGCAGAAATTGGAAGAAAACTTCAATTTTATTTATTTATTCAGCAAACATTTTCTGAATGCCTGGTATACCGCCGTTGAAAAAGCTGTTAAATCGCTTCTTGCTTTGTTAAGGAAGGCTTTCTGGAGGAAGCACAAATGGGTACTCCTAAAGTCTCTTTGATGTTGCTAATGGAACTGAGGAGCAGTAAGTAGTGGCACACTAGAGGAGCAACCAGCAAAGGACGTCCTTAACTACAAGAAGTCATTGTAGAGCACTCTTGCTGAGAATGGCCACTTCCTCTTCGTTCCCATTTGTCCCGACCTGCGGGACCTTCTGTTACTCGCGGGGGCGAGGGGGACCGTGCCTGAAAGAGATGAGCGAGAGAAAGAAACGAGACCAAGCGAATGATTGTCAAGGTCTGCTTTACTTAGATTCTTAGTAGGTTTTATAAGCATACAGAAACAAGGAAGTAGAAACAAAAAAATAGAGTGTTGACGATGAGGCTTGAGTCTGGGTTAATCAGCCCCAATCAGCGTCTTATCGGTATCCTGTTTTTGTCTTATCAGTATCCTGTTTTTGACTGGTTACTTATCTTTAACCTGGCAGGTGGTCGGGAACAATTGCAGTCAGCATACCCTGGAGCATCCCGTGGTCAGCACGTCATGGACTGCATTCTTCTCGGAGCTATAGCTGGAAATTTCCAGGGCGAAGTCCGTGGGTAGGACGAGTCATAGGGGAGTTGAGGGTCTTTGAGGGTCCTTGCCTCTAACACCCATTGCTGGTCCACTGTATGCTGGAGATACAAAGGGGTCCTACCCTCAAGGAGTTTGGCTTCCCTGGGAATTCTTGCATTAGTTGTACCAGTGGATCTGCTATTAAAGGGAAGCAGAGGTGCTAATGTGTTGTTCCCAATATAGGAAAGCTGAGAAGTAGAAAAATAATTCTCAAAGTTATTTGTTAACTCATGTCAAGGTTTTATTTAACTCATTAATAAGGGAACTAACAAGAAGACAAAAAAGCTGCTTCGAAGAGACTTTGAAAAGCAGGGATATATAGTTAATAAGACATTTCCAAATATATATGTTACCTTAACACTTGTACCCCCATAATACGCTAAAATAAATAAATAAATAAATAAATAAATAAATAAATAAATAAATAAATAAATAAAATAAATAAATAAAATAAGACATTGCCAAAGTAAGATTGCTCATTTAGATATGAGACTGGTTAATTTTCTAAAACAATAAAACCAAAACATCTCTGTGGTAAACTTCTCTATTATGCAATAAAACCCTACCATTTTATTAACTTTTGTAGGTTAACCTCTAACTGCACAGGGCTGTAAATGTCTTCACCTTTGTCAGTTAGATTATTTATCAAATATACTGTAGCAACAGAGTTACATTCCCTGGGAGAGTCAGATGAGTGTCAGGCAAGTTTATTAGAAAATGCTCTAGTATGATACCAGAAAAACAAAAATAAGCAACCAAATAATCCTTAATTTTACCTTTTCCGAATTTTGGAGGAATTATTGTTTTACAGCGGGGAAGAATGCGTCTAGCTTTGGAGATAAGCTACCTGGTTGTTTAGGAACCATATAGCCTTGAAGCAGTTACTAACCCTTTCTGGACATGAGTTTCCTACTCCATAAAATGGGAATAATAATACTGTGATAGAATTTATTTCTCCCATGTAAAAGAATGTAGAGCTATAAAATATGAGTCACTTTTAAAATTATGCAAATCCTGGTCTAAGAATGGTTGATTAATACTTAGATCTTCTTACTTCTGGGTTTAAGTTTGACCAATGAAATTGGGGGTGAGAATCTATATAAAGTCAGACCTCACCTAGACTGGCCAGGACAAGAAGAGAATCAGTTATTTGAGACAGCAAGCTTTGAGGCCTGGGAGAAAATATGATGATTTCAAGATATTTGCAGGGGTAGTTGAATTCAATTTGAATTATTGTTTGAAGGGAGAGTACATAGAGAACTGTGTGAGAGACAGGAACAAATGACATTATAAAGTTCCTGCCATTAGGAAGTTCTCAGCCTAGCAGGATAATACCTGTTCTGCTTATCTCAGTGGTAGAAGAGGGTAAAGTGAAATGACAGAAAGTGCAGGGAACAGTAAAAGACAAACGTCAAGAAGCTGTTTTCATGGTTACTAGGATGTAACAATTAGATTTTACTTATTAATAACCATGTTGCCTGTCATTCTAATAGTCCACTGCTATATTCAAGTGGACCACTTAAACTGCATTTTTGCTCAACTACCCTTGCAACCATTTGAATTTTATTGGAAGCAGAGGGAAGCCCTACCAATCACACCTAGCCTCTCCCTAAAGTGCCACCTTGCCAACCCTTCTAGTCGTTCATGCAAAAATCCCAGTAGTAAACTAGGACCATGCTTGCCATCACCAGGGCTCAAGAAAATTGGCCAGCTGGATCTGCCTGGAGGGTGGAAGCTGAGTCTGGGGTGTTAGAGAAAATGATGTCAGGACTCCATGCTTCTCTGACATTATTCCATCTCACCTGGTCAGTAGGTAGCAGGCCAGGCGTGCCGAAGTCCACTCCGCAGAAGATGCTAGATCAGTGAAAAGACGCCAACTCAAGTATGAGCTGTCTTACCCCATTCCTATTTCCCAGTGTATGGGGAAAACTGAGGACAAAAGTGACCTAGAGCACACGAAACACAGTTTGGCCGTTCATTACGTATTTATTCCTGTCTGTTTCTTTCTCATTCTATTCTCAAAGGATTCATTTTGCATCTATCAAATAGTTGTAGACCTTCTCCTTATCAAACGCAGCCTTCTGTGGATTTACATACCAGGGACTTCCAAACCATAGTTCAGGAGTGATCTGGGGAGAAAGAAGGAGCAGGACAGAGCGAGCCTGGGAATGGAGACAGCGGCCCAGGCAGCGGAGCCATTTCTATCTGCTACTCCCTCCATCCAGAGGCTGTTTGTTTGAGTTGGGAGGAAGCCAATCACATGGCTAGATCAGGGTGTCCTGTCCCAGGAGACAGGGAGCTATTTGTCTTCTCTCTTGAAAGAGTCCTGGGAGGAGGAGGGAAGGGCATAGGAACAGGAGTGGAGTGGACAGGGTAAAGATAGTCAATCGGATCCCCAAAAAGTAGAGTTGGGGTAGCTCCCTGTTATTAGGTGTGGCCCAAGTGAAAACATGGAGCTTGTCTGATTTGGAGAACCGAAGAGAGGAGCAGAAGAGGTTATCGGGGAAAAAGCAGAAACTTTTAGACTTGACTCAACAACAGTATTGGGTGTGATTTGGGGCAAGTCACCTTCCTCTCTACCTCCTCTTCATCTGGTAAATGAGGAAGCTCAGTGTCCTGAGGTCCCCTCCAGTTCTGAAGGTGTGTGCTTCTAATAACAGGAAGCTACTGCCATGGGTCCGCTCAGGAGAGAGAAAAGAGGGCTAAAACTCAATTGAAAGCTCTAAATGTTTCTTTTTTTAATTTTTTAATTTAATTTTATTTATTTTTTATTTTTTTATTTCAGCATATTATGGGGGTACAACTGTTAAGGTTACATATATTGCCCATGCCCCCTCGAAAGCTCTAAATGTTTCTAAATGGCTATTGGCAGGGCAGGTGAGGGGAGTCTTCTCTCTGTATTGATAGCAAACAAAAAAGAATTGGGCCTCTTCTGGATTATTGGAAACATCCTATTTCATGATCTGGGGAGGGGGCTTTACTGTGTACATGTTATGAACTTTTTTGGTATGTAAATTATACCGCAATCGAAAAATTAAAAAAAAAAAACCAACAGGAGTTTAGACAACTTCCTAAAAAGAGAGATTTGTGAATTTCCACTCATGAAGATGAAGGACACCTTTCTTCAGAGAACTTTAAACTAAGAAGATTATCCATCTATGCTGCAGGAAGAGGTGGAAAATTGGGGAACAGATAAGATGACCTCTCTTTTGGGGAGATTTCCAAAGTGCCTCTATCCACAGAAATTCCTTTGTTCCTTCCCAGGGACAGAGATATCATCCTCACTGTCTAATTTCCATCTCTCCTATTGCAACACTGGCCACTCCCTCTGCCCTCCATGGAGCCCAGCCATCCTCCGGGCCTCGGACAAAATCTCTACAGAGCCTGGCAGTTTGAAGTATTGAGAGAGACCCCATTTCAACCTTCTCACCATCCGCTCTCCCTCTCATTCCCTTCTCTTCTTCTTGGGGATGTCAGTTTCTGCTCTGAGCCCACTCCACACCCAGGCCCCTTTTCCGGTGGTATGTGCCAGCCTGTCCTGCATCCCACATCCCCAGCTGTTGACATTTCGTTGCCATTACCCACAGGATGAAGAAAGGGGCCCTGTTAACCAACAATAGAAGAAAAGACAGAGACAATGGGAAATTGTGCTTCCGATGGGGTGGGAACAGAGAAGGAAAGGACAGACAGACAGACAGAGTGGCTATACAGAAGGGGTCAGGTTTTTCAAGCAGCTAGAAGTCCTGGAAGTCTGGTTTCCACCTTGAGAACCTCTTTCCAAAGGCAATGCACACCCAGGCACTGGAGGGCAGAGGTGAGGACTCTGTTGGGAGGAAGGGGAGGCAGGGGGTGCTGCTTAGATGAGACCCATATGGAAATGTGGAGGCAGCTGGAGCTTGGCAGTTATGGGTCTTTGAGCCACATTCTGAGTTCATTCCCATCCCCATCGGTCCAAAGCCCTCACATCCACCAATCTACCCCTCTCTGGTCCAAGGGCATCTAGAAGCAAGGAGGCACCCTACTTTCTGCACTCTTCCAGGTAATCATTCCTGGGTTGCTTCCTTTACTCCACCCCCCTTCATGTGTTCCTACCCCTCTTCCCAAACCCAGCATCTTCCCCTGTGAAAGTGAGCTCCATAGATACAGTCACAGGGCTGGACACCAGTCACTTAGCCTGGCTTAGTGGACTGATGGATAGGGGAGAGTTCTTGGCACTGCAGTATCTTCTTGGAGTACAAAGCAGAAGCCTTTCCTCAAAGGTGCAAAAGGAGCAACTGTGTTGATCAAGTGCTCAAGTCCCAGGTGCTTGGAAATCCCAGGAGCCCAGGCAACACCTCATCCAGAACCTCTTCCTGAAGCAGGACGAAACGCTGCGGAGCATTGCTCCCTCCATCTCTGTGGAGAGACCAGCTTCTAACAGGTAGGCCTCGGTGCTGCTGACTCTTCTGCAAGAGGTATGAAGATGAGTCGTGTGCACCTGTTTTGAAATATAGATCAGTGTTTATAAGAGCTTGAGCCTCACTGTCAGATCTGGATTCAAATCCCAGCAAAGCTTACTAGCTGTGTAACTAGTTTCCTAACGTGTGTGCATCTTTGTTTCAGCATGTCTAAAATGGGATTTATGATAGTTTCTACCTCACAGGATTGCTAGGAGGAAATACAGAAGTATACATGCAAAGTGCCTAGAGCAGTACCAGGTGCTTTAAACGTAAAGCATGTCCATCTTTAAAACAGCAACTCAAAGTACTGTAAAGAAAATAAGTTTTAAAAAAATGTTCATGCTAGCTATCATTCTTACTTTTCCCTGAATCAAGCTCCATTCCCACAATCACTCTTATTGACCAAGTTCTGTAAAGAAGTGGTTCTGTTGCTCTTGTCCCTGTCCCACATACTTTCACTTTTAACCATTGGGAAGTTCTTTCTGTGCCTAACCTCTGTTTCTCCTACTGCAACCTGGTCTTTGGTCCTCATATGCAGGACGACGGAGCTCAGCACTTTGTTTTATTTATTTATTTTTTTTGAGACAGAGTCTCACTCTGTTGCCTGGGCTAGAGTGCCGTGGCGTCAGCCTAGCTCACAGCAACCTCAATCTCCTGGGCTCAAGCAAACCCTCTGCCTCAGCCTCCCGAGTAGTTGGGACTACAGGCATGCACCACCATGCCCGGCTAGTTTTTTGTATATATATTTTTAGTTGGTCAATTAATTTCTTTCTATTTTTAGTAGAGACAGGGTCTCACTCAGGCTAGTTTCGAACTCCTGACCTGGAGCAATCCGCCCACCTCAGCCTCCCAGAGTGCTAGGATTGATTATAGGCATGAGCCACCACAACTAGCCACTTTGTTTTATTTTATTTATTTATTTATTTAGAGACAGAATCTCACTCTTTTGCCCAGGCTACAGTGCCATGGCATCAGCCTAGCTCACAGCAACCTCAAACTCCTGGGCTCAAGCAATCCTGCTGCCTCAGCCTCCCGAGTAGCTGAAACCACAGGCATGTGCCACCATGGCTGGCTAATTTTTTCTATATATTTTTAGTTGGCCAATTAATTTCCTTCTGTTTTCAGTAGAGATAGGGTCTTGCTCAGGTTGGTTTCGAACTCCTGACCTTGAGAGATCTGCCTGCCTCCCAGAGTGCTAGGATTACAGGCATGAGCCACTGCGCCTGGCCTCAGCACTTTAGATATCTGGCTAGTCTTCAAGGTGTTCCTTCCCTCTCCTTGTGCCCTGTCTCTTCTTCCCAGAAGTCTTTAATGTGAGCTCATTCATTAAAACACACACACATTTATTTAGCACCAATTATGTGCAAGAAACTATGCTGGGAACTGGAAATAATAGCTAACACATACATAGCACTTATTACATATCAGGCACTGCTTAAAATATCTTACTCATCTACTCCTCCCAACTACTCAGTAAGACAGCTGTGATATTACTCTCCACATTTTACTCATGAGGACACAGAGACAGAGAGAGGTTAAGTAACTTGTCATGCAATCAGGAGGTAGAGGAGCCAGATTTGGAAAATGAATAAAACCAAGTCAAGGGGTCCTCAGCCCAATATTTTAAACAAAGCGTCAAGGTGATATGAACGATACAATACAAAAAGGGGGGGGGGGAATCAACTACTATAGGGAAACAGATAATTGCATTTGAAATAGTTTTAAAAATAACATTATAATTTTATGCTTTTTAACTTTATAGGTTCTGAAAAACCTCATTGATATAGTCTACATGTACATATGCATTACTTTCAAATTTACAGTGTTAGTTTAGGTGTGAACAGTAGTACTTCTGAAAAAAAAAGTCCCCAGATCTGGTACATTACAGTGTGCAAACTGGGGGATGAGAAAAGGTTTCCCAGAGCAGAGGAGGTATAGCCCTAACCAATGCCTGTGAAGAGGAAGTGAGCTCCAACTTGGACTGTTTAGGAAACTGCCAGAAGCCTAGAATGTCCGGAGCACCATGCAGAGGGCAGGGGTGGTGAAGGGGATGGGGGAGGCTGGATGACAGACAGCCTTGGAAGCTGTGCTTAGGAGATTGGACTTTATCCTCAGGGTAACTGGGAGTCACTGTTTCAAGCCGGAGAGTGACAGGATCATATCGACGCTGGCTTCAGGAAGGAGAATGGGTGTAGGAGAGGATAGAGATGGACACTGGCAATGCAGATGGCAAGCTCGGGAAGCAGCGCTTGTGATGAGAGGGGAGGAGAGGGGAGAGGTAGAGGAGAGGCCCAGTCAGCACCTGCTGACTGAAGGAATGTGACAGAGGAAGGGGGGTTGTCGCTGCCTCCCGCATGACCTGCCTTTTGTCACCAGCACCTATTACTGCCCCCATGGCTTCCAGCTGGACAGTCGCCTCTAGGAATCCCTGATAGGAATGGATCCCCATCCCTGCTCTTGCCCCACCCCTTTCCCTCGGTGCTAAGGCGTGCCCACCCTGAGTGCCCACCCTTTGTGCCCTGCAGACGCGCTGGGCTGACCCTCATCATGCCAGGTCGGCTCACCCTCCCCACACTCTGCCTCTTCCTTCTCCCCTGGGCCTGCACTGTCTTCCACAGAGCCCAGGGAGACCCAGGTAAGATGGGAGGGGAGGCCGGAGACTGGGGAACACTGGGGGAGAGACACCCGGAGTGGGGAAAGGGAAAAGGGCAGCTGTTGGAGGTACCCAGGGAGTGAGAGTCACTGGTGAGGGGCCAATGGAGGAGAGGGTTGGGGGACCCTGGGGAAAGAATTTAGGGGGCAGGATCTAGATGGGCACTGGGGCAATGAGGATTGGGGGTACCTGCCACTGTGGCCCCCTCTGCTCAGCATCCCACCCGGGCCCCCACTACCTCCTGCCCCCCATCCACGAGGTCATTCACTCTCATCGTGGGGCTACGGCCACGCTGCCCTGCGTCCTGGGCACCTCGCCTCCCAGCTACAAGGTGCGCTGGAGCAAGGTGGAGCCGGGGGAGCTCCGGGAAACGCTGATCCTTATCACCAACGGCCTGCAAGCCCGGGGCTACGGGCCCCTGGGAGGACGCGCCAGGATGCGGAGGGGGCATCGCCTAGACGCCTCCCTGGTCATCGCGGACGTGCGCCTGGAGGATGAGGGCCGGTACCGCTGCGAGCTCATCAACGGCATCGAGGACGAGAGCGTGGCGCTGACCCTGCGCCTGGAGGGTGAGGCCCTTCCGCTCCCGCCCGCTCCCTTCTAGCTAGGGTGGAGCCGCCTCGCCCGGGCTCTTCCAGGGTCCTTCCCAGCATCTCCCCCGCCCCTCTGGGGTCCCCCGAACCCCCTCTCCTAGGCTGCGCCGCCCTTCCTTCCCCTTCCCGCCCCGCCTGCTGGCCCTTCCCAGGCTCTCCGCCACCCCCCAGGTGTGGTGTTTCCGTACCAACCCAGCCGGGGCCGGTACCAGTTCAACTACTACGAGGCGAAGCAGGCGTGCGAGGAGCAGGACGGACGCCTGGCCACTTCCGCCCAGCTGTACCAGGGTGAGCGGCCGAATCCCAGCAGCGCCCAGGCCCCTCCCGCTGTCCCACGGTCCCAACGAGGGCGCCGGGCGAGCACGGGGTCTGGCTCCCGCCTGGGGCGCCTGTCACCCCCGACCCCTCCTTCTCCCGCCAGCGTGGACCGAGGGTCTGGACTGGTGTAACGCCGGCTGGCTGCTCGAGGGCTCGGTGCGCTACCCCGTGCTCACCGCGCGCGCTCCGTGCGGCGGCCGAGGTCGGCCCGGCATCCGCAGCTACGGGCCCCGCGACAGGAAGCGCGACCGCTACGACGCCTTCTGCTTCACCTCGGCGCTGGCGGGTGAGGGCGCGCGAGCGGCGCTCGGACGGGGACTGGGGGCTGGGGGGAAGGGAGCGGTCTCCTCGTCTCTCCAAGGAACCGCCCCGCCATCGGCCCGCCCCCCAGGCTCCAGGCGCCTCCGGGAACCCCACCCGCACCCCACCGCCTCGCGTCTCGCGCTCCTCCTGCCCGAGCTGGGGCCGCTCCGATGAGGGCCTGCCCCCCTACCCCGCCGCCCGGAGTCTGAATCCCCGCCGCGCCCCGCCCCACTCTATTCTGGGCCGGTCGGTGACAAGCTGCGGTCCCCAGGCCAAGTGTTCTTCGTGCCGGGGCGGCTGACTCTGTCTGAAGCCCACGCGGCGTGCGGGCGGCGCGGGGCCGTGGTGGCCAAGGTCGGGCACCTCTACGCCGCCTGGAAGTTCTCGGGGCTGGACCAGTGCGACGGCGGCTGGCTGGCGGACGGCAGCGTGCGCTTCCCCATCACCACACCGCGGCCGCGCTGTGGCGGCCTCCCCGATCCCGGGGTGCGCAGCTTCGGCTTCCCCAGACCCCAGCAGGCGACCTACGGGACCTACTGCTACGCCGAGAAGTAGGGGCCTGCCGCACCCCCTCGTTGTGGCGGCGTCTCTTACCGCCCCTTTCCCGCAAGCCTCCCGCCAGACGCCGAGCGGCCGCTCCAGACCTGCCTCCACAGCCAGAGGCCGCGGGCCACCGACCCCGGCAGGTCCGGCGTCGGGGAGGGGAGGTGGTGGCGCCCCCTGCGGCGGGGTGCGGATAGGAGCCTCGAACCCGCGGATCCAGACCCGCGGGGTTCGCGAGCCCCCGGCAGAGGACGCAGCCACCGCTAGGGGGCGTGGGGGGGCGCCCGGGGGTATTAACTGACCTCTGAATACAGCAATAAAATAATTTGGGGACCTTGTGTGTTGGGCGGAGCTGTAAGCGCTGAGAGGCGCGGGGGTAAGTGTGTGTCAGGGAGCTAAACCTGGACCCAGCGTGCCAACTACGCGCCTAGAAGACGAGGTACGGGGTGGGCCAGCGGACTAGGGGCGCTGTGACAGCGGGCACCGACCGGCGGTAGGAGCGAGTCGGAGACGCCTTGGGCTGCCTGGCCCGCACTCACGCCTGAGAACCCAGGCTGCTGTTGCGCCAGGCGCCACGCGGGGGCGCCGCACACTCACCTAAGATTACTCTAGCTCGAATCTGCCAGGAGCGCTCCATACCCCCAGGCCCACCCTATGGGCTCCAAAGAACAAATATAAGATGGACCTAAACATATTTCAAAATGTGTTTGTATAGTGCCGGTCTCCCAGAAGCGTTTGCGGGGACTAGTATTAAAGATTGAAAGATTGAAGTGTTGGCCAGGTGCAGGGGCTCATGCCTGTAATCCCAGAGCTTTGGGAGGCCGAGGTGGGAGGATCAATCACTCCAGGCCAGGAGTTGAAGATCAGCTTATGGGTGACATAGCAAGATCCCGTCTCTACAAAAAATAAGAAAAATTAACCGCAAGTGGTGGCACATACCTGTAGTCCCAACTACTCAGAGGCTGATGCAGGAGGATTGCTTGAGCCCAGGCAATTGCACTCCAGCCTGGACGACACAGCAAGACCCTGTCTCAGAAAAAAAAAAAAAAAAAAACGAAGGAAAATCATACTGTTGTTACAATGGGCAGGAAATTAACCCCAGGGAAGAAGAAGGTGGAGGCAAACACCAAACACCATGGCCACCAAGGCAAAAGGAGGAACTAGACTAGTAACTTTCATTTTTTGTTTTTTTTTGTAACTTTCTTAACATATGGCTAAAGGAAACAAACTAGCAATTCTAATGTTATTAATTCATTTTTTCAAATATAGATTTTGTTTAAGCAACCCTACGGCACAAAAAGCCTGGGTTAGTAATGGTAATGAGTGAGGCAAAGGATATGAACATTCTAATGGTGTTTGATACATGCTGCAAAATGATTAATACTTTCCCAGAGGGTTCTTACTATAATTGCTAAAGACAATTCATCCCATGGGACATTATATAAGAGACAGGGAATGACAGAATGTACAGCATCTTCACTAACCATCATACAGCAAACCAGTCCTACAGGCTACTTGGTAAGAACCTCAGTAGTAATCACTACCATTGTTGCCATGTTATTGCTATAATAATAATTGTTAATTATTATTATAGGTACCATTTATTGAGTGCCTATTATGTGTACCAGACATGGAATACCCAGGCATTACATGCATCCATGGAGTACATGTAATGTCTCAACTAACTCTAATAAGAAACCCAAGAGACAGGACTGTAATCCTAGCACTCTGGGAGGTGGAGGCAGGTGGATCACTCAAGGTCAGGAGTTCAAAACCAGCCTGAGCAAGAGCGAGACACCGTCTCTACTAAAAATAGAAAGAAATTAATTGGCCAACTAAAAATAATATATATAGAACAAATTAGCTGAGTATGGTGGCCCATGCCTATAGTCCCACTTGGGGACTTGTAGTAGCACTTGGGAGGCTGAGGCAGGAGGATTGCTTGAGCCCAGGAGTTTGAGGTTGCTGTGAACTAGGCTGACGCCACAGCACTCTAGCCTGAGCAACACAGTGAGACTGTCTCAAAAAAGAAAGAAACCCAAGAGACAGACATTATTATCCCATAACCAAGATGAGAAAACCAAGGTTTAGGAAGTGGCACAAATATTTCATTTGCTGTATGATGGTTATTAATGATCAAGATCAGCTAGATTATGCTGTGATAACAAACAGCTCCTAAATCTCAGGGCTTAAAAGAGTTCTGGAGGGTCTTACAGGCAATTAATAGCTCTCCCCCAGAGGTGACATCTTTCCCTATGGTTCACAACTCATCCACAGAACAACTAGTCATGTGGCCCCACCCAACCACAAGAGGGCAAGAAAGAGCAATCTTACTTCTTAGAAGTAGGAGAACTGCAAATATTTGATGAACAGCACCAGCACCCACAAGTACCAGGAGGGCCGTTTAGATTTCTGGGTCCTTTTCCCAAATAAGGTAACATTCACAGATTCCAGGGGATCAGAACATCAACATATCTTTTTGTGGCCACCATTCAACCCACTACCCCTATCAATTTTGGAGCCCAAGGGGACAAGATCTCACTATGTCGTCCAAGCTGGTCTCAAAGTCTCGGGCTCAAGTGATCCTCTCTCCTCAACCTCTCTCCTCATCCTCAGCTGAGACTACAGGGACACAACATCACGCCCAGCTTCAATTTTTTATCGAATGGTTGCTGATGATCATTGGCTAGATTCATTATTTCATTAGGAGTTCCAAATTGGAGATTTTTCTAATTTTTCCATTCTTCATTTATTAGTTGTAAATCACCTATAAAGAAAAATTTCTCTCAACAACTGTTTTGTTACCCTGACATATAACCTATTCTGAAAAGGTAGGATTAATGCTTGATTCTCTCCCATTTGTCTTAGGTAAGGTTTCCTAAAAGCAGATCTTGCGTGAGGATTAAGAGTATAAGTAGTTTATCTGGGAAGTGATGCTGAGAGGCACTGGGAGAGGGGTGGAGAAGTGAGACAGGAAAGGGAAGGAAGTCAGTTACAGGTATGTCACAGAGCAGGTGGGCAACTGGGGCTCAATCCTGCTGGGGACTCTGGGAGACAGTGGAGAAGCTGCCTCAGAGAATCCCATGTGAAGGGCAAAGAAACAAAAAAACTGGGTTTTTTCCCCCCATTTCTCTTACCAGGTTGCGATCTGAGAAACTAGGGCATTATTGTTAACTCTGTCTGTTGGTTCAGGGCTCCTTCTGGGAGCATTAACTCTCTCGAAGTCCTGGCTTGCCCTAAGCACAAACATGCTCCCACTGCCAGAAAAAAAGCCCTTAGGCAGAGTCACAGATGTTCACAAAGAAGCCTTCTCCTTGCAGAGGCGAATGCTGAAGGATATGGGTCACAGCTACAATCCACCCTTTGCACTGCTCAGAGCCACTGGGTGTCTCATTAAGTCCAGTCTGTCCTGTCACTGATGCTTCAAGGCGGTGGCTGATTGCCCTGCCTGCCCATGGGATAATCAAGATCAAATATCTCTGCCACTATAATTCCTTTCTTTGCCCAATGGTCAATTGGCATAAGGTACCCAAAATGACCCAGTGGCTGCTATAGCCTTAGATTTAGTGGTACCTTTACTGTGATCTCTGGGAGATGCATTTCCCCCACCTCAGGAAGCAGGGCTTCTAATCCTGCAGAGCCTAAATGTATAGAGACAGGAAGCACAAATTCCTAAGTGGGTCACTAGGACTGATGGTGAGAGGGGCATTCCTTCTTCCATTCCTGGATCCTTTGCCTGTGATTTCTAGCTAGCAGGGATACAGAACCATGTAATGGCCATTGGCTCATAATACACACTGCATTTTGAACGACAGCACCCCAACCCCAGCAGATGTTTTCTCCAAGTGGCTTTGGATGTGCTGTAAAGAGGCCATACTAATGTACTAACCAGCTGGTAGGTTCGAGGTAATGTGGTACATCGTAGGGCCAGTGAATCCTGAGGTCATATGCTCATTGTCACATTTCCTTCACTATAAAGTAGGTCCCTTTGGTTAGAGGTGATGTATTTTGAGGCCAGGTGCTGTGGGCTCACACTTATAATCCTGGCATTTTTGGAGACCAAGGCAGGAGGCTCACCTTGAAGCCATGAGTTCAAGACCAGCCTAGAAGCTGGAGGCTGCAGTGAGCTGTGATCTTGTCACTGCATCACTGCATTCTAGCCTGGGTGACAGAGCCAGATCCTGTCTCTAAAAAATAAAAATAATTATAAGGGATGTCATAAGGGTAAATCATTTACTTTAAGGCCTTTGGATATTGGTGCTGGCCAAGACATTTGGTCAGGGAAGGCAAATCCATATCCAAAATATGCACTAATTCCAGCGAGCACATACCGTTCCTCCCTCTAGACTGAAAGAGATCTATTGTGATCAACGTACTACCAAGTGGCTGGTTGGTGTCCTTGAGAGCTGGTACCATGTTGAGGGTTCAGCATCTGTCTCTGCTGCTGACAGGCCAGACACCCAGCAGTGGCAGCAGCGAGATCAGCCTTGATGAGAGGCAGCCCCTGGTGGAGGCCCGTGCACAGCTTCCATGTCTACTGCCACAGCTGCTCCATTCATGGGCCCACCGTGCAAGCCCTGGCATGACAGAGGCTGGCTGTTCCCACTGGAGTCCTTCTGTCTCCCTAGTCTGCAGTGAATGTTCTGTGATGGTGCTGACATACGACACAAAGATTTGTACACTTTGTGCCTGCTCTTCTAAGTTCATCCGTGCACCTCTTCTCCAGATTTCCTTATCTCCAAACTTCCAATCTTGCTCTTTCCCGGCCCCTGACCAACCAACCAAGCCATTGCCACTGTTCAGGAGTCCAACATATGACCTTACCTCAAGCCACCTCTCTCACTGCAGCGTAGACAGTCAGTGCACTGCTTGAAACCTCCTCCTAGGAGGGTTACCCCTCACACTGTCTTCCAAGCCCACTCTTTTGCAGAGCTATAGAGCGGCAGAATTTGTTTAGTTCATTTCAATATGTCAGACAGATCCATCCACGAACCAGGCCTGGGTTTTCTCCTCCTCTCCAGCCTGGTCATAGAGAAATCCCTCCAAGGCTACAGGACAAGCTGAGAGAGAGGTATGGGAGCAACAGAGGTAGGTAATGTGGGGTCTGGGCTACCTGCTCGTGTGGCTCATTCGTGCCCTCTGAACGTGCTCACACCCAATCATAAATGTATTATTTTGGATTGCTGCTGTGCCCATGTGTTCTCGTGACTCGGTTGGTCTGAAAATGCCCAGATCTTGATGGGTATGAGAGACAAGGGAGGGAAGGAATCCAATAAAGGGTGAGCCATTGAACAGGCTGTGGCTGCGGGCAACTGCAGCGCAGGCAGACTGCTGGGGG